TTTTTTTTTTTTTTTTTTTTTTTTTTTTTTTTTTTTTTTTTTTTTTTTTGTGTAAATATCAATGTAGCGTGCTGCTTTTTTTTGTAACGATGAACGCTGTGCGACGATTATCGAGAGCTTTTCTCTTGTTGGGTATGTTTTGTAGTATTTGCTTCGCAAAAGTTGTTTATCAGTGAACAATCACTCAATCACGCGCTTATGAGATCATGTTTCCGAACATTCCGCCGAGCTATAGAAAAGTCTGTGATAATTACCAGAAAAGTGATTACGTAGCGAAAATTTAAAAACTTTTCTTCTCTCTCGTCTTTGCTGAACAGCACTTTGTCTCATATCATGCATTTCACTCACTTTTGTGAGGACAAATTTTTTACATACAAAACAATTTTTTAAACTATATGGGCTAGACGTTCCATTAAAAGTATTACGTTTCATTGTTTAATCGATTATACTTGTAGACGAAGATTTTTTTACAGAATTTGTTTCAAGCACTATTTTAAGTAAACACAAAATTGTTTAGAAGTTTCTCTTCAACCAATTCAATGTACTTGTTTATTATGAATGCTCCAACGAAACAAACATTCCAATAAGTATTATTTTGAAATTTACGTGAAAATTTTTTTTTTTTTCATACACAGACTGAAACACTAAATTATCTAGTCAGATTATTATCATGTAATTATTGTACAAGCAGCTTCATTATTTTTACTGGAACTGCTATATGAATGATGTTATACATCAGTATAATAATTTAATGTTTATTTGTGCTTCGCCAAATAATCAATAAATCGTATGAACTGTATGAATTTCCTTTCAATTCAATCAATACCCAGCCACTCCCAATTTTGAATATCAATAAAACTTTTGAATAACGTAATAAACAAATAAGGATTTTTTTTAATTTAATTTAATTTTAGGACCTGAAATTTAACTTTATTTTAAACCAGATTTTTTTCTTTGTAAGAAAAAAAATTTTTGATACTTTTTTTGACTAAAAAAATTAGTAGCTGCAAGACCTACATAGTTTTTGTATAGTAAATCGTTCAAATTCATTAAAAAAGTAATATATACTATTTTGAAAGAGTCGGTTTATTTTGAGACAAACAATTTTTAAGAATTTTTTAAGTAAAATTTAGTACTGGATCGATGTATTCGGTAACGTGTTAATTTTTAGCTTTGAATTTACGAGCGAAAAAGAAATTTTGGACAAGTGTCTTAGGTCTCTCTCTTGTACGACACACACACAGTGCTGTTTCCTAGCTTAACCTCCATATTATCTAGACGTAAACTGTGTACTAATGGTTGCTGTTTTTCGAGACCTATAAAATGTTAGTAATTCAATGGTATTGTAGTACATAGCAAAAAGGCCTTTTCCTGTTGGCGATTTAATTATTCAATATTATTTTGTTGTGAGCACATTTATTTTAAAAATCAATCATTTTTATCGCCATGCTTTATTTTTACATTTCTAGTTTACTCTTTGATCGGAATCACATGTACTTGTGCAGGCATTGCTACATTTAGTGAGTGGATTTCTTTTCAAGTTTTTCTAATAGCACTTCAGCTTCGCACGAACTAAGGTATTTATGAAATTATCTATTATTTAAAAATGATTTCTTAAATAATATATGCATTCCTCGGTATTTTACACAATTGTTTTTTTAAATATTCTATTGCGTGCTAACTTGCGTGTAACGGCTCATGGCTTCATTGGTTACTTAAATAAGTCCATCGTAAATCTTAATTTATATTTGTGGCACCGCTAACTGATGAATTTATGACTATTGGGATACATATAATATACTTAGACAATCTTGTTGTTTATTCAAAATTTCTTTTTTTTTCAATTCGTGGCGAAATAAGTTATAAATTTTTGTTGAATAGTAGTTTTCGTACCTGGTGGCGCACGTCGCCAGGGCGAGTATACCTTATTCAGTCATACCTACTTACTCATCTCTGTGGCAGTATCTTCAGTTTAAAAAACACCCAAAGTTGAAAAGTAAAATTTTGCAGTAGTATTTTAGCAATATGAGTAGGTACTTTTGATATGGAAATACATAATGTAGTATTATACAATTTTGTATCTGGTTAAGATATCTCGTATCTTATAATATTGATTGTCATGTCACTCAAACCTTTTTATTAGTTATGTGATTGGTTGAAACAGGTCGAGTGTATTGTTCGAGGATTTAAAAAAAAATCAATTGCATTAAATTGCAAAAAAAATTAAAATGAAATAACTTTATATTATAGATGTAATCAAGAGTAAGTCTACTTGATGTGTTTTATTTCAAAAAGAAAAATATTTAAACAAAAAACCTCATTTGATTAAAGTAAGGATGAAATAGAAATACAAGTAATTTTTAAATGTCCCTTACATTAGTTATACTTCTTCGCATAAGTTTTTATTACAAAGAATATTTTAAAATTATTATTGAACCACTTTATAATGATATGGCATTTAAACTAGTTATTTTTGAAAAATATATTTGTATAATTAGTAAGTATAGTGTTTATGTATACGTTCAGAAAGACCAAAAAATTAATGAAAAATTTTTATTTCGTTAAAAATACACAGAAAAGTGTTTTTTCAAAGCTTAGAAAAGATATACTGCCTAATATTCGAGATATTGATTGATCAAAGTTTTGTCTTTTGACACAAAATCTAAAAGAAATTTCAACTTTTTTACTTTATACCATGAAATTATTATAAAAAGAGCAGTTATGAAAAAATTGTAAAAAGAGATGAAAAAAAAACTTGAAAAATTGTTTATATTCTAAAATTTTATCGATTCACTGTCTATTTGTTGATATAGTAACAACTACTTTCTGAAAACTTCTAACAAAACCAAAAGTCAAATTCGAAGTTTCACTCCGTCTGTGCCAGATAACTTTAAGGCTTGTTATTAAAGCTGTAATTTCTTTTGGGAAAACCACATAACTCATCAAAATTTAATAAATACTGGGGAAAACTTTAATCAAATAACTTTTAAATTATGAATTTGTGACTCAAAAATACAATAGTAATAGTAACAGTGGTAATAATTATAATATAAATAATGACATCAATAATTTTTTTTTCAGGAGGATTTGCACGTAAAGCGGGGAACAAAGAGGTGGGGTAAAGCCCCACTAATTTGAATCATAGATATTTAAAATGGTTTAAGAAAAAGCTACATAGATATCTGTCGGATTTGCAATTAATGTTTGGAAACAGGAGAAACTCGAAATAAGACTTTCCAGGGACTATCAAAGTCCTGACTCGTCTTTCGATACCCAACTTGCCCATAAAACTCTTGTCACCACTTGCTTAACTTATCCCATGCATTCCATTAATTACTACTTACCTATTTAATTTCAAATAAAAATGATAAGCACAACTTTGTATTTCTATGGTGGTAGGATCTGAGTGTGGCATCGTATAGCGTATCCAGATGTCCAAGGAAAAGTTTTCCACCAGATGTTCAAATTTAAGTAGAACCTTTGAAGCATTCGAGACAAAAACAAGCAGACAAAAGGATCAAATTGATGACAGTAACCAATAGAATTGAATTAATTAGGTTCGAGTCAGAAGTAAACGGATAAAATACTTAAAAGATGTATTTTAAACGATTTTCCGAGTCAGTTGGAGAAAGTCGATCAAATGATAGAGTCTCTAAGACGCTCCAATGAGAGGGTCGGAATCCACTACGCGAAACTTTATACTAACGCTTCTGCTACTACTGACAAAAAAACATCGACGTTGCATGCATTACTGAAACTTACCTCGATAACACTATACCAACACTATACCCCTCGTCATCCACAACTACACGGACTACTGACGAGGCAGACGAGAAAATCCTACGACAAAGTGGTTATTCTTGTTCACTTTCTCTTCCTGTGACATGCAGAATTATATCTTGTGCCTCCTAAAGCTGATATCGATATCTCCCTCTTACATAATCCTGCTGTTTTACTCCAACGTCCTCATTGGGATGCAAACACGAGAACCTACGGACGTATGATGAAAGCTTACTTTTTCTGTATGAACAGTCCACTTTTATCATATGTTTCTCCAGGAACCCATTATTTAGTCAAGTTTCTACAACACCCATATTAATCGACGCGCGATCTGGGCGGCAGAAACAAAAATATTGAAGAACAAACTTGGGTCATAACGTGTTATCGAGAGTCTGTAAATTGCTTAACAACATCATCAAATTTATATGCTTCTACTAATTAAAGAAAGTTGAAAAATTGGTTAAATTTAATTTTTGAAAAAAGTATTATCTGAAGTTTTGACAAAATTTGGTCGCCAGTTCGAAAAATATTTTATCGAAAGTGTATGAATCATGTAACTGAATACCATTATCTTTAACATACAACGTAAACATTTGTATGAAAAATATGTTTTTAATCATTGTTTTTTGTGTAAATAAAATTTAAAAACAATAAAAAAGATTAATTTACTGTAAAATATGTTTTCTCTTCGTAGTTTCT